GCACTCCCAGGAACCTTGTTTCGCACGAAGTTTTTGCAGTCCCGCAGCAGGAGCGGTAGCATTCTTGGGGCCTGCGGTCTCTGTCGTCTTACCGCCACCGCCGCTGGCCGACGAAGGCTTCGGCTGAGGCAGGAGGGATTTACCAACATCCTGTGATTTCGGTTTAGACTCTAGTTGGGCAACACAGGAGGTTACAACATTTTCAAATTCCTGAGCGATCTCGGCAGTCTTGAAGCAGATCATGAACAGCTCATCTGTGCCCTCGTTCGACGGAGCATCGATGTCCATGTTGGCAAAGTCTCGTGCGCTCCACATGCGATACCGTGGATCCTGAGGATGCTTGTGGAAGTTAAGGGTCGTCGATAGGAAGTGATTGGCGCACAATTTCTTGATCTGCAACCGAAGAAACAGATTGTAAAGTGATTTGTAAATGGGAAGATAAACAAGGTAATGAGAAAAAGTCAATGGTTATGCAGGCAGTTGCAAGACACTACCGCACGGTTCTCATCTAGCTGAATTAAAAAAAAGGAAAGTGGAATCTGGTTGCGCAATTAACGGGGTGAAGCAGTCACAGCGGTTAATGGCCCATCCGCAGACGGGCTGATCGTCCACTTATTGGGTAAAACCCGCAAGCATTATGTTGTGAGCCGTGTGCAGAGGTCACTGGTCTCTGAGTACGAGTGCAGACGGTTAAACTTGCTATTCAAAATAGCCCAAAGAAGTCCCACTGGACGCCAATTCGCAGGCTACCTGGAAATTCCATTTCCACTAACTCTGGGAGATATTTGTCCGTTAGGTAGGCAGCAGTTCTGCTAAAATGGTTTCTTATGGAAGGAGGATATACGAAAAAGATCTATGGTGTCAGGAGGATGAGGATAGTCAACTAGTTTAATATTACCGTGAACGTCTAGTCTAAAATAATGGAAGAACCAACTAAAGCTATAGGTAACCAAAAAGTCTACAGAATACTACGTCAAAATATCTGCCAACCAGTTCATAGATAATACTGTTGAATTGTCAAAACAAGCGAAAATGCGAGTTTCAGGGAAGGATTTAGAAGAAGTAGATGTTTCGCAATGACATTTCGCAATCCGTCGCGGATACGTCATCAGACACAATAGGCGAAACGGGTCCCTGATGGATCCACGATGGATTTTTAAAGGTCGGACGACTAAAATTATTGTATCAGTGATCGCACTTCCTTCTTC